TTTTCTGCCACTGATACCACTGATTGTCGTGACTGGTAGCCAATGAGCTTCAAAGGCCGCTGAGCTGCCGGCTGCCGCTCGCATAATTTCGGCAGCAGAGTAGCTGCTGCGGCGCGCCCCGAACAGGAACAGGTATGCCATCATGGTGTCGGCACCGCCATCGTGGAAAAGCGGGCCAAGGCGCCCACCCTTGTAGCGTGGGGCTCATGGAGTCGATTGTGAGCCTGGCAGCCGTGGAACCCATGTACGTACGCTTGTTAACGCTCGGTGACGGATGTTAAAAATATGGGTATGGAAAAGCCACCGAAATAATTATCTCTCTATGATAAAAAGTGCTCATGCAGTACGGCCATCCAGCAAGGCTGCTGTGGTTCCGTGACGTCACCACCAGCTGACGACAGGGGCGACGGCGTACAATTTAAGGATATTGAAGGCGTTCCAGGTCCGTTCTTTCTACGTGAAGCCATCGATGTTGTCAAACAATTTAGATAATGGGAGGACACCTCCCCTCGCCAATAGCCGCGGTAGTCCCGCCAGCATTGATGGTGGATACCCTCTCAAAAGGCAACCCATCACAGTAACCAGACCTCCCAGTGCATCAAGGTGTCGCTAATGCCTCTGACTTCTTTGTGATGCAATACCTGATTATGCATTTATACATTTCCTAGGAGTACTGGCCGCGGCGAATTAAGACACGTTTCCTCATGCTCAAAGTCGTCTGCCACTTCTAAAAAAAAAAACAGGCAAGGCAGGTGCCACTTTGTGTCGTGTCTTTAGAAAGGAATGTGGGAACATGGTTGGGCGCGCATCGGATCCCACGATTGCAGTACGACCCCAGATTTCATATAGTTCCATAAAAACACCGCTCTGATCTCCTAATGTATTTGGATGTCTTCCTCTTGTCAGGAGTTTGCTTCGCGGTACGATAAATATGCAAAGTTTTGACCTTTGCATAGGCCCATTTTAGGACGAAAGCGCGCTAGCGGCACTACAATGATGACAGTGTTTTAAATACTAGCGCCGAAATCAAAGTGCATTTAGAGATGAGACTTCAACTGGGTGTGAGATGTAAAAGATTCATTGAAACTCTTTTTTCTGGTAGGAAAATAAAACCAGGGAGCTTTTCTGTGAGCCCGATTCCTGTGAGGACCATTTCGGAAAAAAACAGATTGTACGAAAAACGTTTGTCCGGCCGGCCGTCTGATGTCCAGAATCGTCACAGATCACGTGATCTGGACTACCCATTGTTCGTCAAAGCTTAAGTGCCTTTTTCCCCACCTTTCCCATTCAGATGGTGCTTCTGCTCCCCCCCCCCCCCCCCGCTTGGGCTGTCGAGCTTGAGAAGGAAATGGGCTAAAATTCTAAGGAGAACTTGCCTGCTGGTGCATTTCTGGAGGATTTTTCACTGCTTGGTCCCTCCCCCCCCCCCCCCACACACCAACTCATGCTGTGAAACTACGCCCCTGCACGCAGGGACCCTCGTGCCTCTCCGTGGTGAATACAGGACACCGGGACATTGGAGACAGTATGGAAGAGGAGAGTCAGAAGAGCGCCATACTCACCACAACATACGTAAAACGTCAGATCAGACGAGAAACGCCCTGACAAGTTTCCCTATCTTTTGCTCTCTGAGACGAACCTACTCAGCTGTTGGCCGGACCGCTCGAGGGCAGGCGGACACCCTCCCCACAGCAATCCCGCGTGACCGGCTGGACGTGCACCTGACGCGCAGCCTCGCGCCGCCGCCGCGCCGCCGTCGCCGCCGCCGGCCCCGTGTTTTCGTAGCGCGCGGCTGTTTAGGCGGTCCATCGTCGTCTTGTTAGCGATGTCGACCCGATACAGTGCAGCCAGAACCGGTGACAGGTACGGCCCGGCGCCGGCTACCGACGCGCCGCCGTCGACACCCTATCGGCCTCATTAGGTCATCGTTTACAGCCCCGAGCGCCGTCGTCCCGGTGACGGGAGTGAGGGGCGCGGACGGGGGCCGTGAAGGTCGGCTTGCGTGTGTCGCCGGCTTTGCTGCCGCCTCCAGGCGGGCTGGGCGGCGAGGCCTCGCTTCGGTGGTGGTTAGAGGGCAAAGGACGGCAAGATTCGCCCGACGAACGGGCCAGCCGAGTCGAGCGGGAGTGACCGACGGCGCCGGGAGGAAGCCTACTGCTCGATAGGGCCTGCCGTGTGCACGAATGACAGAAATTGCACGCACAGCAGCAACTGCAGCTCACAGTCGCGGCTACTGCTGTGAGTAAGAGCGGTTGAACCTGGCTAAACGGGGAGCTGGAAGTGAAAGTTTCTTCCGTGTGCCTGTGTGCCGGCGTGTGGACGGTGACGGTGGTGTGTGTCTGTGTGCCGGCGTATGGACGGTGACGGTGCGTGTATATCTGTGTGCCGCCGCATGGATGGTGACGGTGTGTGTGTCTGTGTGCCGCCGTATGGATGGTGACTATGCGTGTGTCTGTGTGCCGGCGTATGGACGGTGACGGTGCGTGTGCCTGTGTGCCGGCGTATGGACGGTGACGGTGCCAGCGCATGGATGGCGACGGTGCGTGTGTCTGTGTGGCGCCATATGGACGGTGAATGTCGAGGGACCACGATGTTGCTCGCAGGAAGAAATCAGTGGAAAGCGCTCCAAGATTGATGATAATCTGACTGCGAAAAATGGAGCTGGCTGCTTGGATGACCCAGTGGTGAAACATCAAGGATTAAATTATCTCTGGGGCGTCCACTGGTGCTCAACTGACCGTAACTGTAACCCATACTGACAGCTCACTGGATGAATGGCTGGTATGTGTGTTTGCTAGACATGACATTCACTCACCAAAGAATGCCGCCTGCGGTACAAAAACGACGTAGCCCTCGCTGATATAAGTTCGATACGCCTAAGCTTATCACGCAGGTAGCGTTCACTCTTGGTTCGAGTGAGTAGCAAGTTTTTATTCGTACAGCAATAAACCTAATATAGTGGGTTTTAAACGAAATATCCCGTGTCCCCAGCTCGGGGCCGTCTTTAGTCGATTAGCCGGCACGCTATTTTTAAAGAAATTGAGCGATAAAAAGCTTATACACACTCCACTGGTTACACAGGGTCAGGCTGGCCAGGGCAGGAGAACAAGATTAGTTTGCAACCGGTTGTCTTCATCTCTGCAGTAAAAAAAAAAAAAAAACTGCAAACTTGGTCTGGGACAGCTTTGCGTACGACGTTTAGTTATATTAAAGGGATCAACAAAAAAAATCTGAGCTATTTTCCTAGAACGAGCAATAAGTTATGATTTTAGCATGCAGGTTCTCATAACCAACTGATCCGAATGGCTGAAATATTGCGCCTTTCGTGCTCCGCACTCCACAGTGACGATATGGACTAAAACGCCCCGTAGCGGAGGTAGCGCCTGGTCGTTTCTGTTTTCAATTTGGGCCGCATGAAGACCTTGACATTGCAGAAGTTCTGTGCCGTAATGAGAATCTTCTGGCGAAACCAAGGATACTCTGGGAGCACGATGTGATGTGGCGTTTACCTGCCCAACTCAGTTTTACGTGCGTATATCTGAAGGAACATCTCAGAAAGTGACGTGGTGGAAATGCTTGAGTCGATTCTATTTTAAGTGTCACCACAGCCTAATGCTCAACATCTACGAGAACTTGGGGGATACGCCCCCACCACCACCCGGACTTGCCTTCCTCTCCGTTTCCACGCCTACGCCTGCGCGTACCTCCCATGGCGAAGCTGTGCCCTGCAGTAAGTGGCGGCTGCATAGCCCTAGCCGGGGCTCACGTGTATTTGTGCGGGAGAGAAGACACCTGACAGGCGACAGAAACACCACCGGACGGACCCAGTCAGCGTCTACAGAAGCGGAGGTACGAACAGCCGTCATCCACACGGACTGAGCATCACAGCTTGACGACACTGTATACAGGCACGTGGCGTGGATCAGCTGAGCGGCGGAGCGAGACTTAGAGCGTGGCTGACACAAACGGAGCAAGCGGCTAGCAATCATAAACGTAGGGCGCCGGTCTGAGTTCCTGTTCCTTGCTACCTGGAGTCGCAATTGTTCCAGATGGGAATGCAGCACACACACGAAACGCTTTCAGGGGCAACAGAAGAAGTACCTGCTTACAAGCTAAATGCGATGGCAACACGCGAGTGAAATTATAATGTAACGCATTACGCAGAGTCGTTGATGTCCAGGCGATAGCAGAGCACACGTGTACAGTAAACCAGCTTGACGTCGAAGGCCAGCCATTGGATGCGCCGTGGTGCGCTAAGGCAGGGTCGAAACTTGAAACGAGGAGGCAAAACATTAAATATTACGCTTGCTAAAAGCAATTTATCCGAGAAACGTTGCCCGCAAACGAATCGTCGGAATGATAAAACGGCTGAACTAAGAATACACTGATGAAAAACGATCCCACGGGGTTATTTTATCGCTTCATTTTGTCAGCCTTGACTGCGTGCAGACTGAAACTCCAAGGAGTGAAACATATTTTTATAAATATTATACACGATGCTTGGATGGCAAACTTAACGGTCAAATGCGGCGAAAATATGCCTAAATACTCTGGCCAGCTCGAATCGGTTCTAGTTAACAAACACCAACAGGAGTCCGTCGCAACTTTATATCGAGTCGAATTTAATCCTTAAAAAACCATTTGCTCGTGCACAAATGGAAGCATCAAAGCCGTGGCGCTCAGCGTTAGCACACGTCTTCAGGACACCAACGTATCACTTCCACCTGGGCCGTCCACACCAAACTTCTCCACCGCGCGCAACCTCTCCTTGTGACGTGTTTTACGGCCTTCAACACGCGCACCCGCCAGCGAGTCCATAAAACACATGATCACTCCGAAACCGCACCGCGCTGTCATTGTCTGCTTGTTGCTTGCGCAAAGGCGCCATAGCAAGCACCAGCGAAGCACAAATACAACTGTTCTTTGTTGTGCCACTTCACAGTTCACCAACAGAACACCGAAAATGTGTTCTCGGTTACGTAGAAACTCGCATGCCGTCACTACATAAATGTCCACGGGTCGTTGGCGTCGTACGGCCTCTGGCTGGGGTACTGATATAAATTCTGGTAGTACGCCATGTTCTCGGCCGAGTAGCCAGCTGATGGCGCAATCAGCTGACCACCGAACGGCTGGCCACGGTACACTCGCTCCTCGTGACTTCTGTAGAGGCGCTCCTCCTCCGGCTTGAACGCCGCCTGGTTATAGAAGCCGTCGCAGGCCATCGGCTGCGGCAGCTGCGCCAGCTGGCCCGCGACGCTGCTGCTGCCGCTGCTGCTGCTGCCGCCGCTGCTGCCGGCTGCCGAGGTATCGCGGCTGTCACATACTGGCTTCAGATCTTACAGCGCCCAGCGCAACGAGCAGTGGGCGGTGTAAGCTGTGCCTCACATTGGAATAGGCTGCCTTTTTATGCAGGCACAGTCAATATTATTTTCTACATTTATGTGGTTCAGAGTCATGAATGGGGTAGCAACACTTAAAGCACGACAAGTGCATGTTTCTTGCATGACAATCCCCGTAGTTATAAATTATCAGCGTACAGAACAGCCGGCTGCAACTCTGCGCATGTTGCCCCGTAATGCAAACATTTCGGAACGTTTACGTCCCATGCTACATGAACACTGTGTCAATGGCGTTCTGTATGAGTTGTAAGAAGAATTAATCACATAATGTGTAGCGGCGAGCTATTTTAAGTAAGCTGCCATTGTCTCAGCCTATGTTCAAACGGCGCCCGCGAGCCTCCACTTACCGCCGGCGGCGGCCGCGTGCGCGCGGAATGCCTCGTCCCTGGCCCAAGAGACCTTGGCCGTGTCCTCCGGCGAGGGCTGACCCATGACGGAGCGGCCGAGGGCGGCGCAGGCGGCCGGCGCCGAGGCGGCCGTGCACTGACCTCGGGTCAGACCGGCAGCCCGCTGCGGGTAACAGCCCAGCCCGCCGCTGCCCTGCAAGAAACCTGGCGACACAGACCACCACCAGCGTCAAACGCGCTGGCGACACGCGTGGAAGGGGCAGGGGGCTCCGAGGGGACATAACCTGAGTGGAAGAAGTGGCAGATGGGGGGAGATAGAGTAGCGCTGCCTTCGCGTATGGTTGCAATCATAAAATCTTTAAAAAAAACTTTTTTATTTTAAAATCGTGCTGCTAGAAGGTACCATTTGGCTTTCAGTCATAGCAAGCACGCCCGTGTTTGTGTCGCATCCAAGTTCAATCAGGGGTCAAAGGAACACCTCCAAACTTTTTTCTGGACATTACTATTAACGCCGTGGGAATGGGATTGTCTCCAAAATAACCAGTGCATAAACAGGGGAATGGGGGCTCAAAATAGCCAAACGTGCATGCATTTTTGATGGAAGTCCCGCAAGTGAGCTGCCGTTATTGACGGACGGTTCTGAAGGTGGCTGCCGCATCCACGCCATCTGCCGGACGCTTGGCTACCATTGATCTGGCGGCTGGTGCGGCGTTTGACGTAAACGGCAGGCTGGCTATGGAGGGAACAAGCCAACCGAAAGCGAACCGATACAGCTCAAAACTAGCCATATGCTCACTGCCTACATAAAGTGATTAAGACCTGGACCGTATATCCGCCTCTATCACTTTGAGTAAAAGCACTGAAGCTTTTCATTTGCTTTCAAGCCGGTGAAGCCTAGAAGCCAAATGCATTCGGTACCTTCCAATCACTTTATGCGCACTCTGAACATAGGGCGTCTTCTAAACTGAAGTATATAGCTCTGCTCCTATTTATTTCCGCTTCTTCAGTGCAAAATCAGATGAAAGCCATCCCACAAACAAGTACTTGAATTCGTGAGCGAAACACTCATTTTCTTTGTCGGAGCTAACCGGCATGTTTTGGGAACATAATCCAGGGATGGATCGCAATAATAATAGATTCCACGATGCAAATGACGATACCTATAGGGCAAGCAGGCACCGGCTGCTGCTGGTGACAGCCCGTGAGGAGGCTGAACATTGACCTACCCATGGCCTGCTTGTTGTCCCTCATCAGCTCCCCCTGTGGCGTAGTTGGCGGGGTGGGGGGACCGTGACCTTGCCCCTGACCCTGCGATGACAGCAGCCGAGCGGCTTCCGCACCATCGCCGAGCTGGCGACTGGAACACAACACAGCTCACTAACAACACGACGGAGCGACGAGCGTGCACAAATATTCGTACCCCTGTCATTTGGAGGCTTAGAGTCTTACTTACATGTTTGAAACCTTTGCTTACCAGTAAAAGGAGCGATTTCAAAAGGAAAAAATTAGAAACAGCCAAATTACTTCACGCAAATATGCCTTGCAGTTGTGGTGCTGAGCCGTAATAATGTAACGCATGCATGACCGATACACATGACGGCGATCACCATTTCCAACTGGATATATCGCAAGTACTATACACTAAAGCTCCAATAGCAGTACCATTTCCCAATACTTTCGATGAGGTAGCACCTGCAGTTTTGTATTGCCTATCATCAATTGCAAGGGCACATACATGGGGAGTTGCAACATGTCGTTATCAGTACCCCCCCCCCCCCCCAAAAAAAAAGAAGTTGCCGTATTCTCATAGGTCTCTCCAAATGGCACACATCAGCAAGGCCCCAACCACTTACACGTGACCACCAAGACTCATTACACAACCATCAACAATATTTTGCACTTGTAAGTTATGTGCTTGTAAGCAAGTTCTTGTACATGAGAGGGGAGGGGCGCCAAATAATCAGACGCACACCTTAACAGGCTGGCGCGATCGGGAGTCGAACCCAAACCTCCCACTTCCTGCACCGATGCACTGTCCAGCCGTCAGCGGTGCAGTGCCGCCGACTGACCTGCTGTTGAAGACGACTGTGTTGCCCTGCTGGCTGGCGGCGCCGGTGGGACCCTTCAGTGCCTTCCTACGGCGTGGCTGGTACTTGTAGTCGGGGTGGTCCTTCTTGTGCTGACGCCGAAGCTTCTCGGCCTCCTCGATGAACGGCCGCTTGTCGGCGTCACTCAGGAGCCTGCCAGAGAGGTCAGGGGTCACCTCGGGAGTCTGCCTGAGAGGTCAGGGGGTCACTTCAGGAGTCTGCCAGAGAGGTCAGGGGTTATTTCAGGAGTCTGCCAGAGAGGTCAGGAGTCACCTCGGGAGTCTGCCAGAGAGGTCAGGGGTTATTTCAGGAGTCTGCCAGAGAGGTCAGGAGTCATAAGAGGTCCCCGGGAGAGGTCCCGTCATGGGCTCCTCGGAGTTCGTGGAGCACATCAGGATTCACGCAGAGGCTTGTGGGGGGGGGGGGGGGGGGGGGGGGGGGGTCAGAGACAACGAAGGTGTCTGTGGGGAACATCAGAAGTCATATCAGGATACTGTGAAAGAGGTTAGATGTCATCCTAGAGTCTATGTGATTTGTTAGGGATCACCCCGAGAGCTCACAGTATTGCGCACCGCTCGTCTCGGTGTCACGCAGCGTCGGTCAGCAGTCGCCACCGCGCTCGCCGACACGCAGCGTCGGTCAGCAGTCGCCACCCGCGCTCGCCGACAGAACAGTGCAAAGAAAGCTCGAAACGGACTACCCAGCCAAAACTCAACTGAGCGCAAGTAAATCACTAAATTCGTAATTTTAACCTCGATAAATCGACATCTAATCTAGTTTCAAAAGAGACAAAAGAGTTTTCAGAAAATGTAAATGCTGAAACATCGAGCTGAAGAAGTAGAAAGTTACGGCACATTCACCTGATCCATTTACGACATATTTTGGCCATGAGGTCGCTCTTAACGCTGCAGTACTTCTGCAATATTTGGCATTAGTATCGGCCGTATGCTGAGGTAGTGGTACTTTCAGGTAATGACAGCCGCATAAGTGACATCCTGAACAGCACTGAGACTCGTAACTGTACAGTATGATGGTTACTAGCTGATTACAGAGACGATTGCTTGTACTGTTTTACAATCTGTTCAGGCTCAAAACGCTTGGTTAAAGTCACATTTTGGAAAAAGTAGTGAGCAAAATCCTTTTGCAAACAATTTTTGGTGGACAAGTTGCTTTAAACTGAAAGAACTGTGGTCAAACGATAGCCGATGGTAGATAATACATCGAGAGCACACTGAAGGACACTGTAAGTGCGAGTTTCAATGTGTTGTTACGACAGAGCTTAGTCGGCTGAACTGTCTGCCCAGTCCACGAGAGATCTAGAGTTGCAATATCGACGGTCCGAAAACGGTACTACAGAGAAGCTCGTGCCTCTTCCAGCGGTGAGACGGCGGACTTAGGCATTGCTGTTATCCTGTTCCTTCAGTTCTGTCTGAAAATCACACACAGCCCGCTTGGGAACTTTGCATTAAGCATTACAGAAAATCCCTGGACGTGACGTTGAAAAAGGCAAATGACGTCACTTTGGATCAATATGTTTGAAGTGACAAACAAAACTGACTATGCCCTCAGGAACATTGGTCACACATCTATCCAGTTTGCATGTCAATGTATATCTTTATGACATTCCGACCGCCGCAGGCAATATGCTGCACATTGTAGTGATGTTCTCCCCATGCCACGCGTGTTCCGTTCAGGAACACTTCCATTCCGTCCAGGATCACAAGAGGACAGGACATACAGGGCAAACAGGAGGACAGGTTTATTTAAATCGGACTCTCATGACATATATATCAAATGCAAGATTTGCAGGAATATCAACATCTATTAATAACGTTCATTTCCCGAGTCATTTTTACATTATCTTCCTATATGGACATATATCTTCCATTATCTTCCCAGTTCTAACAAGAAAACGATTGGAGCGGAAATGCCTAATCTGTGTCTGGCTCCCTGTGAGTCTGGCCCGAACTTGCATCATTATCCGGCTGTATCCTGCTTAGCTATCGTGGTCGGAACAAGCGCCGTTATCCGGCTGTGGCCTGCTTAGCTGTCGTGTTCAGAGCAAGCATCATTATCCGGCTGTATCCTGCTTAGCTATCGTGGTCGGAACAAGCGCCGTTGTCCGGCTGTGGCCTGTTTAGCTGTCGTGTTCAGAACAAGTGTCATTATCCGGCTGTGGCCTGTTTAGCTGTCGTGGTCGGAACAAGTGTCATTATCCGGCTGTGGTCTGCTTAGCTATCGTGGTCAGAGCTAGTGCCACTATCCGGCTGTGGTCTGCTTAGCTGTCGTATTCAGAGCAAGACTCATTTTCCGGGTGTGGTCTGGTTAGCTGTCGTGGTCGGAACAAGCCCCATTATCCCACTGGGGCCTGCTTAACTGTCGGCAAGCATTGATGCCAGCCGGGCTTACATGCATGATTTCCGCCGCCTGTGCCCACACGCCCTGCAAACAGGCCAGCCCTATCTGCTTCTTCAGGTGTGCGGTATCGTCATGCAACAGCGGCTATCGGGCCGCACCGTTTGTCTTGTCGATTACGACTGTTTGCCGTGGCTCCGCTCGGTGGAGCCCGCCCGCCGCAGCCGTGGGACATTGGGTCTCGGTGGGTCAAACGGCGGAACGTCCCAGCGTCACGTGGTGCCGAGCGGCTCAGCCACCGGGTCTGCGTAAGTGTGCCACCTTATGTGCTTTGGTGGGGGGGGGGGGGGGGGGAGGGGGAATACTGAGCCAATGAAATGCGGACGATTGCTCTGAAATGCTGGTACATTTGGTACCTACGTGAAGATACGACTATTTGCTACATGTTGATTTTATACCGTATAATATCCTGTACATACCCACCTGCATAGTATTGGTAGGTTTTCGCGCATTAACATCCGGGTGGTGGCAAGAAATGCACTGAAATGTATGACAACGTTTAAGTAAAAGGTGGCTGCCCACATTCATGTGTTTTCTTCATTGTTTGTTATCCTAAACATCGAAGCCGAAATCTGCGAGTGATCAGGCTTTGAGGTTAGTTTACGGTCAACCTTACGACTGGGCACCCCCAGTCGATTTGAAAAATAGCACACATTTTTGCACGCCGCGAAAACACGTCGTGGTTCTTTCGCGACACCTTAGAGGGTCCAGCCGGGTCGAAAACATCTCGGGGCCTTACGAAATTGCTCACCTTTCGAAAAATACATTGTGGGCACGACATATCCAACGTACTGCACATGGATAAAAATAGTGAAGCATTTTTTATCGCCCATGGTCTTGTCAATGACTTCCGAAAATGCAGCGAATTTAGACAAAGATTTCACATTGCTGGACCCCGGGAAGGTAACCAGCCTCCACTTTGGTCAAAATCCTGGATTCGGCCGCGAGCGTTCGTAACGCGATTTGAGGGTCAGTTTCCTCTTTTCTATAGGTTTATGCTTTAGATTATCAAGTCTTCGTGGGCCGGGTACATTAGCGGATAACCGAACCAAACTGGTATTGTTAAGGACTGGGTTCTGAACTACACGCCCGCAAAGATGTGCAGACTATCCGGGAGACTATTTCAAGGTCATCCGGACATCTATAACGCCTTAATAACGTCATTTAAATCCTGTCATTCGATTATACATGCGGTAATCAAACCCGAGACAAATATAATTGTCAAGTCATTCATATCTGGTGTTCGTAAGCACGATTTCCGGACATAACGGCCGTTAACTGGTTCTCAACCAATGTTGTTGCAAGGTACGATGACATAATCAAACAATGACGTATTGAGCAGGATTTTCACTTAACAGAGAAATCGTGCTGTCTAGAACAGTTTTTTCCACTTGAAGTATACCAATAGTTATAAGTGGGCTTATTCCATCATATCTAATGCTCGTTTCAACATCTTCAAACGTGGAACTTCCCCTTTAGCACTATAACGGGACCGTACCATACAGGCGGATGCGTCGTCGCTCTGGCCTATGCACGCTTATCCTTTCACGTCCTAAGCTAAATAAGCTCTCAATTCACGTTAACAAAATATGAATTACCTACCCTACTCACTCAAATTGGCGCCGCCAACATTGGCGTGCGCCAGTGTGGGTGAGCGTGGCGGTGCCAAATAATTGGGCTTAAAATGTTGATGTCTGACCGAGATGTTGGCGGAATCTTGGTGCTAGCCAAGACCTCTGGCCAAGTTTGGTTAGTCGGGTTATTGCATAAGTTGCCGGCGCGAAGCCAGGCTATGTTTCTAATGGTGAAAATTGAGTTGGAGGCAAATTAAACAAATTAAGACGACTGCATAAGTTATTATGGTCTAGATGATAACAAGGATAGTATTACGATATAGACGATTCGAAACTATTAAATGCATGCGTTTGTAACAAACAGAGATTCATCACGATCTAAGTTTATAACATACTTTTGAAAATGTACTCAGGTGGGCATCACAAATTCGGTCAGACAGTGCATTTAAAACCCACAAGAGGTGCCTTTTCTGAATGATTCTTCCGCATATTGCAAGAGCATGCCGATTTATAGTAAGTGGGTGCAATTGTTTTTGGTGGATTTAGGGTTTAATTCATTGAGCACCAGCCCATTCTAAGCCTGCACCCAAATGCCCCTAACCGGTGTGCACACGGGCAGAGGGTACAATATTTCCGATGGGTAAGTGACTGAGAGTTGAACAAACGGGTAAGAAGCCGGGCGAAGAGGGAGGGTAGGCAATGCATGCATAAGATGGGGGGGGGGGGGGGGGGGCACACCTGACATTTCTTTTACTCATCACGGGCGGCAAAGGAAACACGTCAGGAGCATTTGACATTACCTTTGACCATCAAACCATTACCTTTGACTATTACCTAACCGTTACCTTTGTCCATTACCTGACCATTACTTGACCACTATCTTTGACCATCCAAGACAGTTCGATCGCACCGTAGACAAAGAGAGGACAAAGCGAACTTGTTCATGACCCCACAGCTGCTTGACACAACTGCCGAATCCAGCTGACATGTGCATCGCTTTGAGCACCTCTTGTCCCCGTCCACGTCCGCTCCATGCGTCACACCTCCGCCTCATAAAGCCCCGCCGCCGGCTCGTGCTGCCCGCGAGTCCGCCCGCCGCCGCCGGGACCTCTAACGTGGCTCCACCCCCGATGTCGCAACCCTCGGACGCCAGCTGGGGGCGTC